CACAATCAATAATGTATCTATTCATAACCAACCGACGCCGATATCACCCGATGGAATATCTGCGAGTGATGCGCGATTTTTATCGCCGGCAACATGGTCTGTCGATCGCTAGAGATACATGTTGCTTGATCGTGTTTATTTTTCTTCAAAATGGAAGACAGGGAAATAGTTATTTATGATATAAGTGCTAAAAGTGACATTTTATTTTGTGAAAAGGGAAGTTTGGGACACGACGCCGAAGGCGGAGTGTTCCATCCCTTTGAACAAAATAAAATCACTTTTAGCACGAATATCATACACTATTTTTTCTACAAACACTGTTTAAAAGTCCAAATTAACGCATCCTTGAAATCCTCAATTTCAAATCTTTCATCTAATTTATTTATGAAATAGGTGCTGGCAAGAAAAAAAAAACGAATTTGTTTATTTTTATTTGTCATCTCTGTTTGTCATTGTTGATTAATAACGTCAAATAATCACGAATTTTTGCTTACGGTTTCTGCACAATTTTTGGTTTTTGCGTGGTTTCATCCAGTTTCATTGTAGTTTATTTTCTGGGCGATGGAAAGTGATCAAGACAATGAATTTCTCCCGGCGGAAATTGAAGAAGCTGCCAATAAAGCTACTTTCGAATTATTGCCTAGCAAGTCAAAGCAACAGTACGAGTTTTCATACAAAAGAACATTGCGGATCAAATTCTGCCCAAAAGTTCGGAGAATAACACTGCTCTTTACTCTCCTGGTACAAGTTTTACCAAAATAAATTCAGTATTTGCTACCAATGAGATTGGCCATGGAGTTTCTTATTCTAATTGCAGTTTCGCTAATTTTAATTTAATTAAATAAATATTTTACTTTGATATAAAATTTCCTATGTTTTTATATTTTCTGATCAGTGCTAGAAGTGATTACTTTTAGCACTAGTGCTAAAAGTAATCACTTTTAACACCAGTGTCATAAAATGGCATTTTAGACACTGACAGCATCCGTTAAAAATGACACTTTTAGTGACGTTTGTAGAAAAATGTAATTTTTGTGCAAATTATTGAAAAATGTATGATTACACACCCCCAGATTATTCTAAACGCCAAGTTACCGAAAAAGCTTGGAATTTAGTAGCTAGGGAAGCAAACATTTCAGGTAAGTAATCAAAACAAAGAAAAATAGTTTTTTTTTTATTGTTCATCCAATGGCAGTATCTCAGTGATTTGGGTGTAGTAGGTACACCGTTTCCGTTTCCTTGTTTCTGCAGATTTCAATTGCTAGTTGCTGTCGTGTTGGTGTGAATTCATGACCAATACGATTTATATGTTGCGTATCGCATGTTGCTAGTGGCTAGTTGCTAGTTATTTATTGCTTTGGTGTGAATTCTTCCTAAAGCTTGAGCCTATCGCCATAAAAAAAATTCCCCTCATGAGTTTTTTGTTAATACACTCCTTGGGATGCACAGACTTAGATTGTTGCTGTTGAACCTAGTTGTCCCGGTTTCATTATTGTTATCTAATCCTCTATATTTTTTGTGAACCATGCCCACCGTCAATAAAATAAAAAAACAGGTCAACGTAAGAATTCCCTCCCGGATAAACAGAGGCCGGCAGTGTTCCCTGGAGCCGACTCCGCAAAATAAACGAGCAGCCCGTTTTTGTGAAACAAAATGAAATAAACTATTTGACCACTGGCCAAACTCCAAAATTCAATGCCATATCTGAGTCGTGACTCAACAAGTGCAAAGTACACACCCCTTGCAATGTCATGACCCATCTCATTACGAACCGTCCTTAACGCATAACATGCCGGAGCCAGTTTTTTTCGCAGTTCATTGATATGTTCACCAAATTTCAACTTAGAATCTATAGCTAAGCCCAAGAACCTGGAACACTCCTTATTAGCAAGTGGCTCATCATTCAAACTTATATTTGCCACAGAACAATTAAAGGAAAGTAAAGGACCACGCACGGATCTTATGAGAGAAAATAAATTTCACGATTGTCATGAAATTGAAATATGTTATGCTTCTCGACCTTCTGAACGTAAGTTCTCGTAGACCCAAAAAGATCCTATGATTAGTTTCGGAGATACAGGGCCGGGTTAACATACAAAATTTTGATAAAAAAGAAACATTTAAAAATATGTTGTGTTCAGGCAATGACATATTCTAGGTTAAAAACGGGTGGAAAAATGCCAAAGTAATGTCATCTGAAGCTTTGTTAGTTGAAAACTTGTCGAAAAATGCCAAAAATATGTCATTTTTGGTTATGAATTAAATTAATATACCAGCAGATTCTGGAAATTTTTCTTGTATTACTTTTTTTTATCGGTCCTGTATCTCCGAAACTAATCATAGGATCTTTTTGGGCCAACGAGAACTTACGTTCAGGAGGCCGAGAAGCATAATATATTTCAATTTCATGACAATCGTGAAATTTATTATTTCTCATAAGATCCGTGCGTGGTTCTTTGTTTTTGTTATGTTGAAAGATATTTTATTGGAGTCACACCACTGCTTTACCTTGCGAATATCTTGCCCAATCCTATCCTCCAAGGTGACTTTGTCTGATCCCAGCCATAAGATGGTAGTATTATCAGCAAATAGGGTGCATCAATGTTGATGCAAGCTAGATCATTAATGTAAATCAAAAAGAGCAGGGGAGCAAGCACTGATTCTTGGGGCACCCCATGCTCAATGCTCCATACTGATGATACATCGTTGAGGCCCTTAACAATCTGTTTTCTATCTGTCAGATAAGACTGTATCCAGCTCAAAGTGTTACCCCTGAATCCATAATGAAAGAGTTTCTGGAGTAATATCTTATGGCTTACACAATCGAAGGCTTTGGAAAAATCACAAAAGACCGCAGCCGCGATCCCCCCTTATTCAGTCCAAGAAACAGCCTCTGAAAAAATTTGAACACTGCATCACTAGTGCTCTTCTTGTCCTGAAATCCAAACTGGTTGACATTCAACAACCCGTGAGCCCGAAGAAAAGAGACCATCCTAGACTTTACAAGTTACAAGTTTTTCTATTATCTTAGAGAGTGTTGGCAGCAGAGATATAGGGCGGTAATATGATGGATCGTCCGTGCTACCGCCCTTGAAAATTGGTCTTACCAGAGCGGTCTTCAGACTCCCGGGAAAGGTACCCATATCAAAAGTTACATTTATAAACCTAGCAAGCAACTCCAGCACACAATCGGGCAAGTTGCTAAACATCCTTAAGGGTATTGAATGCGCTCTTTAAAATATATTGTAACGCACGTCGAACTATACAACTACCCAATAAGTTATGCTGCAGGCATAACAGAGATAGACAAAATGACAAGAAGAATCAATTAAATTTCTACAAAAAAAACTAGATAATTTTTGGAATTCTAGTTTGCACCATTCTATTGCTAACATGCATAAGAATGGCGCTAACTGAAAAAAACACCATAAATTGATTAACTTTCTTGTTTTTTTTTCAGTTTAAATTACATTTTTGTAATTTTTCGAGAACTTGTTTCTATTATCGGATTTCTAAAAAAATAGCGCCACTCGTCCCTATATTATAAATCGAATGCAAAAAAGAAAGTTGATATAACTTCAATTGTTAAAAAATTAGGTTGAAATTAAGAATGCAATGCATTCCTTGTTTCATTCATCTCATTCCCACTAAGGAGTATTAATCGGAGCGGAAGAATACAATGATAGACTGCGTTAGGTGCTTCGCGCAGGAAGAAATATTTTGACATTAAGGCGCATCCAATACCCTTAATGACAGGTCATCTATCCCCGATGAATTTTTTTGTTTTATTTGCCTAAATATAGTTTTTATCTCACCAACATCTGTGCGATAGAAGCCAAAAGAATTTGGAACAGAAACATTCGTTAGATAGCTCATAGGATCTATATCCGATGACAACCCAGACATTAAGTTTTCTGCCACTGAGCAATAGAAATTATTAAATGTATTAGAATCTATTTCAGTCTCACAAGCTTATTTATCTACCTACTTTTACCAAAGTACACACATACTTAAGGTGATGACTTTGACTTACTAGTATCCTTTCATAAGTTTCATATTGTATTTTTTTAGTTACCTACCTATACCAATCTCCTAAGTTTTCGGGATATTATCCTTTGGGAGTGATCAAGGCAATCGAGCTATGTCACCTTTATCATCCTTAATTTGTCCTTTTTATCTTTTCTCTTCCAAAACTAATTCTGTCAGAAATATATATTTTTTTTTTGTGGCAATGATAATTCAAATTTAATTGAGAAATTGATATGGGCAAACTTTTTGATTAAAAGAAAATAGCTTATCACTGTTATTTAAGCAATAAGCTCACTTATAATAGTTATTTTTATCAGACTTGAAACGATAGGTAGTTTTATTTACTTATCGTTATTGTTTTATAAAAGATTATTTTCTGCCTATGTATTTATATCATGCGTTTTTAATTTTTAGCATGATGAAATCATCAATTCTTTTCAAACATTTTCTTTCGAATTTGTTAAGAACTTCTAAAGTCAAGTTCTTAACTGATTTTCTTTAGCATGATACATGAGAGAATTACCGTGTATGTTCCATTAACTTGTATATGTACCTAATGGCTCGAGCCAATGATTTGTGAAGGTCAACCACATTAATTAATAACTGATGGGATTTTATAAAAGCTGTTTTTTATTGCAGTAATATAATCTGTAATGATCTACATTAAACAAACTCAAACTCAACTGTTCCAAATTTCGAAGATAATAAACAACCTATAACACTGTCACTAGAAATTTTATCATATGAAATGCTCCCATATTCTAACCAATGAATATTTACCAATTTTAAGTAAATTCGAATACATGTCAACTAACAAGGACCCTTAAAAAAACAACATTTTCTGTGCCAAATGATCATTATTTATCAATATTGGTTTTTTTTTTTAAGAATTTAATATTTTCAATTTAAACTACACTTTTCTTTAGGGATCACCTATTTCAATTGATTACTAATTTTGATCTTTTCCATAGATTTTCATCAATAATGAATGGCACAAATCCAAATCTGGCCAGACTTTCCCGACAATCAACCCTACTACTGGACAGGTAATCACAGAAGTTCAACGAGGAGGAAAAGAAGATGTCGGTAAGAATTTCGATTTTTCAAGACTAGACTAACATTTAGTTTGATATATGCAATATTTCATTTTATAGATAAAGCTGTTAACGCGGCCAATGAAGCTTTCCGTTTTGGATCAGAATGGAGGACCATGGACGCTTCGGACAGAGGAAGATTGTTGTACAAGTTAGCTGATTTGATTGAAAGAGATGCCAGTTACATAGCTGTAAGAAAATTGTTTTTAACAAAAATATGTTATTATTATTCAGATGAAATTCGCATAAATATATTATGGCTATGGTGTTATGAAAATATGAGCCCCATAAATTTAAAAATCCATTGGCTTGGCTGATAAGCTTTCCAAGATAACTTTCAGCATGTGTGGCAGGCTTAAAGGCCGAAACTCACCAGCAACACGCCACGTCATGCTTCGCTACACCACGCCATGTGACGAAAATGTATGCGTATATTTTTCCATTTATTTATATGTGCTGCGTACACACTTGCAATACGCGATACCACGCCATGGCACGCCACGCCATCCGTCCATTTGCTCACAAACTGTCCCACGTGAACCTGTGTCACATGGCGTGGGGTGGCGTGGCGTGTTGCTAGTGGGTTTCGGCCTTTACATTTATTTGTTTTGATGTCATAAATAGTTTAGTTGTGTTGTTTTTTTTTTTAAGCGTGACTTGCATTTTACATATAAATCGAGACATAAATATCAATAATTAGAGACTAATGTTTGTTTGATGTTTCCATGAATGGAAAGATTTGCAATTCCATTATGTCCACTTTCGACAATCATTCCATTCAATTCTAAGTTGAATAATCTTTTTCTAGAGTCTTGAAACACTTGACAATGGCAAACCATTCACCCACTCCTATCCGGTGGATGTAGCAGGAGCGATCAAAACTTTCCGTTACATGGCAGGATGGGCCGATAAAGACCACGGAAAAACCATACCAATTGATGGAAATTACCATGCCTACACTAGACACGAACCGGTAGGAGTTTGTGGTCAAATTACACCGTGGAACTTCCCATTGTTGATGGCTGCGTGGAAGTTGGCTCCTGCTTTAGCTATGGGTAGGAGAACTGCATATTTAGAGAATTTTTTATCTTGAAACTTTTCTGTAAAATGTTTTACAGGACTGCATATTTTACACATTGTTCATTGCAAATTTCTTTTTGGTTGAACAGTGAGAAAAAAAAAGGTTGATCACCTCTGTTAATTTTTCTACTTGCCTTTTCAGTACTCGTAAACATCTTATTTTTACTCGGAAAATGTATTTACCAGACCTTGGTAAGGTATTTATCTATAATCTAATAAAAAGAAAAAAATTACTGCAAATTATAGATGACAGAATAATTTACAGCTTTCTATTCAAATACATATGTTAACCGATTTTGTTATACAATTAAGATAAGGTGTGGTGTACCAATAAATAGATATTTTCAGCCATTAATTAGAATCAGATTTTCAAAAGAAGTTGTGATATATTTTTGCTAACATTCAGGAGAAAATTAAGATCAAATCAAATGAAATAGTTGTATGCGGATTCCGATGATATTAGCTCTATTCCAACCGACATGCAGAACCGTTCTAGAAGAGTAATTTCCAGTCGATCAATTTATTTGTTAATTAGGATAAACGTGCAACATATTGAAAAATAGGTGGGCAACTGGAAATTAGGTGCTGTTCTAGAACGGTTCTCATGTCGGTTGGAACAGAGCTAATGTAAGATGATTACCTTTTAAGTTATTAAAATTATGAACATTATCACAGGTCTTTTTGTGCTTAAATGAACTTTCCATTATTCACTGTAAGATTATATAAAACTTCATATTTTTTAAAGTATTTTGAGAATATTTTTGCATTTTAAGTTGAAAGTTTTTTTTTTCCTTTAGGTAACACTGTAATTTTGAAACCAGCAGAACAGACACCGCTGACGTCCCTTTACATAGCTGAACTTAGCAAAGAAGCTGGATTCCCTGCCGGAGTTATCAATGTTGTACCTGGTTATGGAGATGCTGGAGCAGCTATTGTTGCCAACACTAATGTAAGAATAGTAGCCTATATAACTAGAACTTTACAGAACGGTTATGGATTTATTCTGGTCGAATTTTGATAATATTCAGAATCAAAGATTTTTGAAGGTGGGAACAGGTATATTGAACCCTCTACAGTATGTACTGTACAGTAAAACTTCTCTTTGAACTGAGAACGCCCACGAAAAATAGAAAATGGGTTTACAGGACAATTTTCTCCAGATTTTCAAAACATACTAAATGTAGTACCTTATTTAACATAATTTGAGAGGACTGCTCAAATTAACGGCTCTACTAAAATTTTAACTCAGGAGGCAGCAACAATGGATGAAGATCCTGTCTCGGAGTTTGATCAATTTCAATTTCATGGTAGCCTTGAAAACTTTACAATGGAATATTTAAAGTTTACTTTTTTGTCTGGAGAATATTCTCAGGGCCATCTCTAGTTAGTGGAGATTAAATTAGAATAATTCGATAGATCCTTCCTACATGAACATTTGAAAGTAAATGTAAAAATTATTACAATGGGCAATGAGTGTCGGGATAGATTGATCAACTGTATTCACAGCCCAAAAATCATTGTTGGAGAATGGCGATTTCAATATATCACTCTGGGGACGCATAATCTCAAACCCGCGTTGCAATATCGTTTTCAACTCACTTGATTGCCTAAATTCCTTAATACAACTACAAGTCTATAATGGAAAGCCGACTTGTCTCAACAATCCTAACTAACAAATCAATGGTTGATTGATTTAAGTAGTGATTGTCTTGCCAAAAAATTTCATGAGAAATACAACCAGGTTATAGCAATAGTGCCACTTCCCATTTCTCATTAGCTAAAACAGTAACATTTCCTCGACGAAGTGAAATACTAATCTTCGACGCCAAGGTAACATCCAAGTCTGTTGGGAAAAACATGGGGTCTGAGACCAAAGATGATGCTATGACTGTAAGCCACTGTTATCAGGCCTATAGTTGTATACGGAGCTGCGATATAATGGACAAAAGCACAAGTAACGAAGGAAAATAAACTGAACAGCCTTCAGAAACTGGCCTGTCTGTGCACCACTCACCGAGGCTATGAGAAGCACGCCCACAGTAGCGCTGGAAGCAATTCTGGGGCTAGCTGCCCTCAATATTCACATTAAAATGGCAGCCATAACTATTGCACACCAGATGAGGGCAGCCAGGGCATGGAAAGAAACACCAAGGGACCTTATTCTTGAAACACGGGAGCAGCGTTCCCAGGAGAACGAGTGTTCTGTCTTATTCAATGATATGCAAATGATAATATAAGTAACAAAGACGGAACACTCGTTCTCCTGGGAACGCTGCTCCCGTGTTTCAAGAATAAGGACCCACAGAGGCCCGATTCTCCTCTCAGCGAGTAGAGCTTCCCGATAGAACGAATGTTTTGTCCTTGTCAAGGTAATCGAAAAGTAAACGAGAATGATAAAGATGGAAAATTTGTTCTCCCAGAGAGCTCTACTCCCTGAGACGAGAATCCGGCCCCAGGCAACTACTGCCCTTAAAGGTTATCGACCTAATTTATGATAACATACTGAAAATTTATTTAGGGTGGTGATAGCACAGAAGTAAACAACTACAGGTCTATTTCCCTGCTCCCAGCTATCAGTTATTTGGATGGAATAAGTTTTTGGTATGCCAGTCAATATGGATTCAGAAAACACAGCAATACCTCCTCAACAACTACAGACCTAATTACAAATATTTATGGAAAGTTTGATAAGAGATATAAGTGTGTACTTGTCTCGCTGGACTTAGAAAAGCTTTTGACACAGTAAATCACAGAATTCTCGTGGAGGTGCTTGAAAAAACTGGTATTGGAAGTTCAGCACTGCTGTGGTTTAGGGACTATCTATCGGGCAGACTACAGTATGTTGAATGTGAACGTTACAGAAGTAAAATGGAAAACGTTGTACACGGAGTGCCCCAAGGTTTAATTCTGGAACCGACACTCTTCCTAGTCTACATGAACTCAGTGTCATACATACCTCTTCACGGCTCTCTCAATTTATATGTAGATTAACTTGCATTACTTATTTTGACAAGGACCCCGCTAACTTAAAAATTATCATGGAAGAAGACTTACAGATAGGGTTGCCAACCGTCCTGCATTTCGGTGGACGTCCACCATTTGGGGTCCATTGCAGGAAGTCTATTGTACTTAATTTTTTACTTAATGAAGAATTCTGTCAAATTAAGTCGGCTATAAACCTGGTTCTGATGTAACGAAAATCTTATACATTACTTGAAAATGGAATTTATTATTTTTGACTAATACTGAGTTGAAAAACTTCTGGATCATTTTGCAACTGGTATTTTTTATATTTGGGTCCAATGAATAAATTTTTTCGATGCGTTTAGCTTTGTGTACTGATTCGCGTAATCGATTGTGTATTGAACACACATCAAGGCAGAACTGCAAATAAAGCTTAATTAAGTGTTCTTGTACTTGCAAAGAATTTCATGATTTTGTGAGAAGTTTCAAGAAGTTAATGGTAGCTGCAAAAAGTGGAAAAAAAGTACCCTGATCTTAACTTTTTATACTCTTTAAATAATTTGTTAATCTGCGTACTTACTTGAAATAAAATTTTAAATTATTAGTTCCCATTTACCCAAAGATTTCTTGTTGGATTTTTTTTTTTAGTGTATCAGTATTTTTTTTTTGTCGAATTGCTTATTCATTACGAAGAGCGAATTTTGGTCGTGGCGCCATCTAATACTAGGATTCAGCCCGTAGGTACTCCGTACTACTTCTACTTTGCCTACAGGCACTAAACTTAGGTTGAGTTTCTTTGCTTTCCTAACCACACTGATGAGATCTGATAAATCGAAACGCGTCTGTGGATGGAAAGGGGAAGTCCGCTCCTTTGGAGGTTTAACTATGATTGAATTCAAAACAAGTAATAAAGGCGAAAAATATTAACCCAAAATGTTCATGTTGTTCATTTAAGTTTGTAAATGGTATTTTTCTCTGCAATAATAAAAATGTCCAGAATTTATGCCGGATGTCCTGATATTTTAATACCCTCGTCCAGAAAAATTGAAAAACAGAAAATAAGCAAGTATTTTTTTAATTTTGCCCAAATATGATTATTCCGAAAGTTATACAAATATTAAGTTTTGTATATATAGATATACTGAGTATGTGCGACGTGCGACGTCATAAAGTATTCTATCTTATGGTCATAAGCAGATTTCAGAGCGTTGTATTTCCGTCAATTTTTGACCAACACGAAAAAAAAAAAAACTCGTGTTGACTCATTTTTCATTGTCTAACTAAATCAGCAATAAAAAAAATGATGCAAGGGGCCCATTGGAGTACTTGGTCGAATATCGGACAACTCTGTCTAACCAAAGTTGAACGTTGAAGGCCACTTACTCATCCTTGTAACCATAGGATTCACACGTTCAGACCTATTCTGGTTTGATAAACAGTGCGCGTGCAATAAAGACAGTAGCAAAAAGAAACTTCTGTGATATATTCGAGTAAATGACCTTTAACGTTCAACTTTGGTTAGACAGAGTTTATCTGTCCATTACGCATTGTAAGATGATATACAATTCCCTTATCCATTCTCACATATCATATCTAACTCTGCCATGGGGCAATGCTTCCCTTAACAAACTGCATCCATTGTCAGTTCTCCACAATCGTGCTATAAAAAAATTGTATAAGCTGCCATTTCTTTTCTCAACAAAAGACTTATATTATCCGAATAGCATCCTGGACATTCACTCCCTGTATACAGTGTGTCCCGCTTAAGGACTGACCACCCTTCTAAAATTTTTATTTTTTAACCGAATCAATTAATTTTTTTTTGTCTTATAGCTACTCGAATTTAGCACTTATTAGGCTCATCATTTTATTTCTTCGGCCGTACTGGTGTACAGGGTGTCCACATTTATAGGCTCAAATTTCAATAAGTACTATTAGGGATTTTTTTAGAAAAAATCTGATAGCAGATTCTTGTTTAGAATGGTCTAAAACCTAAATGTACTAGTTTTTGTTCTAATAATATAATACAGGGTGATCACAACAAATTTTCAAAATTTAATAGACCAAACCGGAAAAATTTCATATTTTGAGGCCTTGAGAACAACAAAACTTGATACAACATAGTTTTAGAACATCCTTAACCAAAACTTGTAGTAAGCTTGTCTCAAAATATAACATTTTTGTGGTTGGATTCAATAAATTGTGAAAATTTGTTATCATCATCCTGTAGCGTATTGAAACAAAAATTAGTACACTTAGGTTTTAGACCATTCTAAACAAGAATCTGCAGTCAGATTTTTTCTAAAAAAATCCCTAATAGTAGGTACTTATTGAAATTTGAGCGTATAAATGTGGACAACCTGTACACCAGTACAGCCGCAGAAGTAAAATTACAAGCCTAATAAGTGCCAAATTCGAGCAGTTATAAAAAAAAAATGAATTGAATCGGTTAAAAAATAAAAATTTAGAAGAGTGGTCAGTCCTTAAGTGCCTTAAGCGGGATACACTGTATATTGCAATCATGCATCTTTATACATTCTTGCAAGACTGCCAATATTCACTGTACAATAAGTCTCATCCCAGCCAACACAATCCATCACCACAATACCAGACTCAATGAAAACTTAAGAACGTCGGCAATGAACACTACAACTGCCAACGCAGCATCTTATCGGAAGGACTAAGGTACTACAATCGAATTCCAGAATCTGTTAAAAGATTGAACATAACTTGCTTCAAGTGTGTAAGCTGATGCAGCTGATCCAGGGCCGTAGCCAGGGGGGGCAATGCCCTATCTTTCAAATGATCATGCCCTACCTTTAAAACGCAACATGCGTTAAGGTTTCTCTAGGAAGTTTAAGAGCAGATAATGAAAAGCCCTGAAATCGAGTAAGTGCGGGGATAAGTGTTTCCGAAAACTCCTAAATGTATGCAACAATGTTTGAAGTTTACATAGAGGAAGTTTTTCGTTTCGAAAGAGTGCAAATGCAAGGATAATACGATAATACACACTACTACACAGGATTTCTTATCGGCCTCATTTGTGGAAATTGCGGCCATATGGTGTAACACTATTGACGACATCATCAACTACGTCTTCAGCTGTTTGCGCGAACGGTCGTAGTTTAGAATATACATTTATGATGAAAAATGTTATCATGGGATCATAACTTGTGGTGAAAACACCCTACGTCAAGGCGAGAAACGACACGCTACCTACGTAATCACTGGTTCTTTGGCGTGGTAGGGGGCTTGAGATTTGATATTTAAACAGACCGGCCTTATGATGATAAGCTATCCTGTAATAGTAGTAGTAGTTATGGCGAAAACCATTGGTTAAGTTAGTGCAAAAAACATGTTTATTTGCCAGAGATGTTATTTATTGAAAAATTTGCCTTCGGCGCCATTACCACCAGATTGTTTACCAATGTTTACCTATAATTTAAGGGAGGGGGGGGGGGGGGGGGCAAGTAGTGTATGCCCTATGTCAAATTTGTCATGCCCTATCACAAATTTGACTCTAGCTACGGCCCTGAGCTGATCTTCGATGGATACTTTGGGACTGTTCAATGAAAGACTTTATCTGCAATTTGGAACCAATATATTCATAAATGCAAGGATTTTGCGATACAGTACCTACTTGTACTGGATATTTTCTCTTGATATTGGATAACGTATATTAATACAGTATATTGTAATAATGTTATATTATGATACTGAATGACCCGCATAGCTTTTCAGCTCAGGGTCTCTAGTTTAGGTAAATACATCTATTGTTTAACTATCATGTTGAAATAAAGGAAAAAAAAATGCAAACGGATCAAATGGTGATAACCCATCAGTTGAAGCATCCAAGCATATGGCAGCAAGGAACGCCTCATATAATAAGAAGAGGTCTGGTCTGGTATATGGACGGCTTCAAAACGATGAAGCTCGCGCTGGCGTATTGGAAAAAGACCAGATTCAGAACAAAGAAGGTATAACATACAGAGATGAACGAAAAACATTCTATTGGAAGCTTTAAATGCCGTACAAAGGAGATGACTTGCTACTACTGTGTATCCTGTCGGATGATTCTGCGAAGGAGCTGCAGAGATAGAAAGACAATGATGACAATGGACAATGGGCCACTTTTACATTTTTCGAAAAAACATTTGAATTATTCTTTTAGTCATCCTTATACTATCTCTATACTTTTTTCCGAAAAAAAACGCTTATTTTTGAAAAAAAAAAAATTATTCAAAAATCAAATTTTTAAGCTGGCGCGAAAACGCGAAACTGATTTGTGTCGTCACAAACCAGAAAATCAACAAAACAACGATGCCAAATTTCTCATTAGTAAATCATTACACATTTCACTAGCTAGAAACTATTTTCGTCCTTTACTACATTATAAAAAAATAAAGGATAGGTATAATCGTTATAAACTCATTTAAATTTCGCATTTCTACATGTGGCAACCAGCACGTCAAAATCGGCTTTAACCAATCAGAGGGCGTTTTCAATCACGTGATTTTTAGTTTAAATTTTTAGTTTCTATTTATCAATTTATTTAATAATCTGACTAAGATCTTGCAAAATATTGTTCATTCTCGGTTGCATTGATGTGTCTGCGTCAAAAAATATCATAATTTCCCATATTCCCGACACGTGAAAGTGGCCCATTAGAGACAACAAAATATATTGTAATGTTTGCCCAGCGACTCTGTGTCTACGGGGCAACGGTGAGGGGAATGCAGTTGTAAAAAAAATGGCTGATTTCATTCATAAAATACCCAGCTGCGTGCGAAACTTTTTGGAAGTGCTGTCATATTGTAACTCGTATACGAAAATCGACAATGACCAAACCTCCGCCACTGGATATTTCAATATAAATTGATATTCCAAAATGAGAGGATAAAGGCCCCCACAGACTGCGTTTTTGTTTGACGAGCAAATCTGCTCGAGCAAAAACGACGGATCGGAGTTGCCCATAGACGTTGTAGTTTGGCGAAGATCAGTCATGTTGAAAAGGCGAAGCCAGATATTTGCATCGGTTTTGTATGCCAGCAAAAACGACAATTTTTCGCACACACACTTCGGTTTTGCGTCTTTATTGCTCGACCTGATTTGCTCTTCGAACAAAACTGTCCAACAAAAACGCAGTCTGTGGGGCCCTTTAAATGACCTGGGCAATAGCGAGACGTAAGATGACGTTAGCTCATTGACAACCGTATGGTTGCCCATGGCAACGGCGATCCTGCCAAAAACTCCACCAATCAGGTTCATCCAGTCCGGATGCTTGCCAAATAGTCAAAAGCTGATGGTATCTTTAGAAAATTTTTATTTTTTACAATAGACCAAATTGAAGAAATCATGATTAAAATAAGAATAGATCTAATAACCACGTTAAAATATTCAACGTTTTATTATTGTTTTCAATATTTTGTTATTAAAAAATGGATTTTCAAATGAACTATACTTTAATGCCTAGTATTTTCGCTTTTTTGAAATTAAACGTGACAACATGGCACATTTATGTCCGAATTCCTTCCGTAGACTCAGATCCGCTGGGCAAACAATAGCAGTCTATGTAAGAATTCTAGCAAGAATACCAATGACGGAGAGCTCGAACAGATCGGGTAATTACGGGATATTAACTGAGCAGCAACGCGAATTAGAAGAATTAACAGTGCATGACAAAACGTAACTCTGTCGCCTACAGGGACAGGGCATAAATGAGGGCAAAAATTGAAATCTGCAACCCCTAGTGGCAGTTTTCATAAAAATTTGTTTAATAAACAATTGGACTTTTGACAAAATGCCAAAATATTCTAACCTATGGACTGTCAAGATGTCAGAAATTTGATTTCTAGGCTGCTAGGCAAATCCAGCGGGTTAACACCTGTCGAGGTGGTAGAAATTTAATTTCTATGCTGCTTGGCAACCCCAGCGGCAGCAAAAGTACTTTTAGTGCTGCTCGTACTTTTACTGCTGCTCAACCATTCACTTGCCCCCGAGCTTACCCATCCGTTTGGAGAAAAAATAGCGTGTATCAGCACTATTGCAAGACTCACTACGTTCGGCTCGCAAACCTACCGCTTCAGCACAAAAAAGTAAAGCTTCGACTCCTAATACAACAATATACTATTGTTTCCAAAATATAAAATGTATCCACCACGAAGCTGAAGACTGAATAGTTAGAGGTCAAATAAGCAAATAAGTCTTGCCGTTCAATTCGAGTTTGCGCAAACAAGTTGATGAACATGACGGAACGTCTATCCCGGCCTTAAGACTATATTGGACTTCTGTCAAAAAGCCAATTGTTTAATATACAAATTCTTTCGAAAACTGCCGCTAGGGGAATTTGTGACCGGCGCCTTTAGAAAAGTCTGAAAATACAAAATCAACCTGGAACCCCCCTCTCCATGCTGTTAAATTAAATTAAAATTAATGATAGTAATAATAATAATAACTTTCAGACCAAAAAGATGATTGCTGTAATAGTTATTTACATTACAAGTGCGTTTATGAACATAATTACAATAACGAGTGTGGAGGATTAGAACGACGAGGTCGTAGACCGAGTCTTTCTAATCACACAAGTTTTGTAGTCATGTTTAAACGCACGTGTGATGTACATCATTTTATCTACAAAGCGAAAAATAAGTATGTTTTTCCAATTATTTTCGTTTATTAGTAGTTGTCTACCTTCATTTTACCTTAACAGGTTTAACTTTGATATTTCTCAAATCACCAAAAATAGTTATGTTATAGAGTCATCACCTAGTCTATAACATCACTAGTTGTGTTATGAATTCATAACCTAGTCCATAACACCACTAGTTGTGTTATGAGTCTCATGACATAACTCAAATACTAGAAAAATAATTATGTAAAAACGTCATAATCAAACGCTTGTAGATAAAAAAAAAAACAAACAAGCTTCACAACCTTTTGTATGTCACTGAATAGACTGTCTTCCCCACTATGATGAACATCAGATGCTGAAAAATTTTAAAACTAGTTTTGAGCGCATGCCGTCCGGCGATGCCCACACTCAAGAAGTAGCAGTAGATAACTGTAAACTTCACCCTTGGATTTTTTTACATATGTCTCAAAACCTTTATTATTTAAACTTTTTACTCATTTGCCTTGGCCTTTTTTGGCAGTAAGACTCCGATATTATAAACACTCATATTTGAAAGAATTTAATCTAACACAGGTTCTTCGAAATTGTCAATACATTTTAGATTCCCAACATCTTGTTGACTACTTTCCAGAAACATGCACTTCTTGCAAATTTCAGCAAGTAAAAAAAAGAAATTTCTTCTGAGTCTGTTATCTCTTCCTCTAGTTTTAACTGTATTCGTATTGCCTAGAGCGCATCGAATAAATCAATTTTCTTAACTCTGGATCAATATTTACGTTTACAATCAGTATCCACAGTTGTTTTCACGTTTGCTAAATTTCCATTATATTTAGGTGGACAAAATTGCCTTCACAGGATCCACCGAAGTCGGAAAACTCATCCAACAAAACTCGGGAGTAGGCAACTTGAAACGTGTCACTCTAGAATTGGGAGGAAAAAGTCCAAACATTATTTTGGCCGATGTTGATATTGAAAAAGCTGTTGAAGCTGCACACCATGCTGTGCACTTCAATCAAGGTAAAAAAATACAATTATTAGTCAACAAGCAATATATTTGAATCTTCTAGGTCAAGTATGTTGCGCTGGATCCCGTACATTTATCCATGAAGACATTTATGACGAATTCGTCGAACGTTCTGTTGAAAGAGCTAGAAAACGAGTCGTTGGTGATCCTTTCCATCCTGCAACTGAACAAGGACCTCAAGTAAGGTTTTGATTATTTTAATAACAATTTCCTCAATAAAGCGATTGTAGATTGATGAAGAACAATTCAATAAAATTCTTGGATTGATCAAAGAAGGCCAATCGCAGGGTGCCAAATTGATACATGGAGGTGCAAGGCACGGAGATGTAGGATATTTTGTGCAGCCTACTATTTTTGCTGATGTTGAAGACAATCATGTGGTTGCCAGAGAAGAAGTAATTACTTAATGTAGGGCAAACTTAATTTACTGAAATTAATTATTTTTCAGATTTTCGGTCCAGTACAACAATTGATGAAATTCAAAGATCTAGATGAGATTATTAAGAGGGCTAACAATACAAACTATGGACTGGCTGCTGCTATTTTCTCCAAGGATATTGATAAAGTCAACTATATTATGCAAGGTCTTAAGGCTGGTACTGTCTGGGTTAATTGTTACAATGTTTTCGGAGCACAAACACCTTTTGGAGGTTAGTTTTGTGTTATAATATGTTGATTAAAAATGTTTAATGTTTTCCATTTTAGGATACAAAGATTCTGGTTACGGAAGAGAGAACAGCCAGTACGGTATAAGACAATATACTGAAGTTAAAACTGTTGTTACAAAGGTTTTGCAGAAAAGCTCTTAAGCACAATAGCATTGTTGCCTAATATTTAGGTCTTAAGTTTAATGTTAATATACCTATATTTTTTAAATATTTTTATTATCCACTAAATAATAATGTGATATTTCTCTTAATTTTTGTGTTTCATTTTTCTTTGTACTTAATAATATTTATGTAATTTCCATAGGCTAGGCTCTTGTGGCAGTATTTTTTTACTTCAAGAGTGAAAAGAAAAAATAGCATTTTTGAGTACAGCCAACTGAATGACAAGTGAACAAACCTTAGGACTTGATAAAGGGAACACATAATTACAAATAAAAAAAAAATCGGAAACTCAAAAGAATATAATTGCTTATCTAACAAATTTTACATCTCAAAACGAAAATATAACAACTTTGACAAAATATGATATGTCGCACCTTCAATAAAAATATATTTACCTTATACAATACATAAATCGCTCTCTAGGTGACCAAACTTAACACTTAACAGGGACTAAATAAATAGGAAAATGTTGATTATTGACAGACGGGCAATGAGCAACTTTTTTTTTTCCGGATTCGTCACGAAAATACCAAAAAACCTTATAAAAAAAAAACAGCTTATATCTATGTAAGGCACTCATGTATAAATAATATTAATTTTATGTTCTGAAATATCATGGAGTAATATATAAAAAAAAATCATTAATTACATCTTGTATTGAGCCAGCCAAACTCTAGACTTTAGTCAATGAGATTTTGAAATTATAACAGCTTTTTTTTCTTTAAAATAAACATAGAACGACTAGGAAATAACCCAAGTTGTTAAAATAGCTCAACTCGTATTTTAACACTCTATATGAACATGTACAGTCACCGATTCAGTCGATGGTCGGCCGTCACCGTGACACTTGGTAGAAATTTCGTCTGTAGAAGTCCTAGGACTTTCTGAAGGTGGCGTCGATTGTGATGGTTCTCCATTTAAGACTCCAATATCTAAACACAACACACAAACATATTCCTATTAGGTAAACGTACTAATTTAATCGATTATTTATTTGATTTGAATCTTTTCCCGAAAACATATTTTTTCTTAGCCCAATTTGCAACAATGGAAAGATTTTCCAGGCAATACTTATTTGGCTAATTGAGACCTCGAAGAAATCCAATTTTGATAAACTCAGGTTGATATTTGAAATAATAATAATTTATTTCGTATCAAAAATGCAGGAACAATGGAAACTGGGATAAAAGGATTCTAGAATAGGACATCGTATTTTTGAGAGGTACCAGGACTGCCAACAGTGGCTTGTTCTAAAAACGATAAAACAATTTAAGTGCATCCGAAGCGACAGTTTCAATAAACTAAAGTGAAACTTCTTACCTGTCTCTCCACAAATCTGCGTACAGTAAGTGTCCCTCATAATCTGGCAATTCTCGAGGCGGATTTTCATAAACTTTTGCCCAAAAATGAAGTAACCGATTCCTCCACCTAGAACAGCGGAAATAAGAATCCATGCGTCATAGAGCATTACGGAGAGCATAATTAGGTAACCAATGTTTTGCAGGAGGAGCCATATGGAAATTTCTGATCCAGTGAGTAAAAATCTAGAAGAATAACATTCAAGGCAGTTGCTGGACAACAACAGTTAAATTACCTATCAAAAATTGTAATATTGAAAGGATTTTTCGGATTTGTGATGGTTCTAGCAAGTAATGTGGCACTTTCAGTCGGGCATAATTGTTTCAATTGTACGGCTCGTAGTTTTAGCTCTCTTTGATTATTTTTTGCCTGTAAATATCTGAAATAAATGTTAGCAAAAATTAGTGTCACATAGCATAAGAATTAAAAGACTATTCTAATTCTCCTATAGGTAACTAGATCTTTGACTGGTAGAAACTTGGTTGCAAGAAAGCTTCTTAAATAGCTTGAATAATTCAGATGGGTATTCTGCATACCGTCAAGACAAAAGCAAAAGGGTGGGGGAATGTGTGTATTTTAGTTAAAAACCAAATAAGTGGATAAGTCAGCGATTACAGAACGGAAGCACCAATTGATGCAGTTTTTTTTTCAGTTTCAAATCAGCTTTATTTCATTTTGTGGAAATTTGAAAAATAAAGTACAAGAAAAAATGCCGGGAGTGAGTTAAAAATATTTTAAATCACTGAGGTTTCAGATTTCTAGTTGGCAGAGTGACTTAAAATGCCGAGAGTGAGTTAAAATGTTTTTAAATCACTGAGGTGATAAACGTCTACTTACCTTTATTGTTATGCGTTCAATAATGTCATTTTTAAACGTCAAAATGGGATAAATTAATATAAATGTCTAGAATCTAAATTTAACACATATTATAAAATTTCTCGTGAAGGGTTCTACATTTTTTTTTTCACATTTGGACGGAGTACCTTTAGTTTCTAAATCGGTAGGGAGGAGTTGAAAAACTCAGAAAACTCATTAAAAATAGGGTTTTTTTTTTCTCGAGATTTTGGATGGGGTACCACTACCATCTTTTGGAAGGAGCTTAAGGAAGTGTTCTGGAATGTCCACTGAAATTGATTTTTAGATCGGTAGGGGATGAAGGGTTGAAAAAATCAGAAAACTCAATAAAAATAGGGTTTTTATTTTTTTTCTCGAGATTTTGGATGGGGTACCACTACCATCTTTTGGAAGGAGCTTAAGGAAGTGTTCTGGAATGCCCCCTGAAATTGGTTTTTAGATCGGTAGGGGACGAGGGGTTGAAAAAAAATCAGAAAACTCAATAAAAATAGGGTTTTTATTTTTTTTTTCTTGAGATTTTGGATGGAGTACCAGTACCATCTTTTGGAAGGAGCTCAAGAAAGTGTTCTGGAATGTCCCCTGAAATTGGTTTTTAGATCGGTAGGGGATGACGGGTTGAAAAAATCAGAAAACTAAATAAAAATAGGGTTTTTATTTATTTTTTCGAGATTTTGGATGGGGTACCACTACCATCTTTTGGAAGGAGCTCAAGGAAGTGTTCTGGAATGTCCCCTGAAATTGGTTTTTAGATCGGTAGGGGATGAGGGGGTGAAAAAATCAGAAAACTCAATAAAAATAGGTATTTTTTTTTGTCTCGAGATTTTGAATGGGATACCTACCACTACCATCTTTTGGAAGGAGCTTAAGGAAGTGTTCTGGAATGTCCACTGAAATTGATTTTTAGTTCGGTAGGGGATGAAGGGTTGAAAAAATCAGAAAACTCAATAAAAATAGGGTTTTTATTTTTTTTCTCGAGATTTTAGATGAAGTACCAGTACCATCTTTTGGAAGGAGCTCAAGGAAGTGTTCAGGAATGTCCCCTGAAATTGGTTTTTAGATCGGTAGGGGATGAGGGGGTGAAAAAATCAGAAAACTCAATAAAAATAGGTATCTATTTATTTTTTTTCTCGAGATTTTGGATGGGGTACCTACCACTACCATCTTTTGGAAGGAGCTTAAGGAAGTGTTCTGGAATGTCCACTGAAGTTGATTTTTAGATCGGTAGGGGATGAAAAAATCAGAAAACTCAATAAAAATAGGGTTTTTATTTTTTTTCTCGAGATTTTGGATGGGGTACCACTACCATCTTTTGGAAGGAGCTTAAGGAAGTGTTCTGGAATGTCCACTGAAATTGGTTTTTAGATAGGTAGGGAATAAGGGGTTGAAAAAATCAGAAAACTCAATAAAAATAGGGTTTTTATTTTTTTTCTCGAGATTTTGGATGAGGTACTACTACCATCTTCTGGAAGGAGCTTGAAAAAGTGTTCTGGAATGTTCCCTGAAATTGGTTGCTTGCAAGCTATTATTCAGTCAGTCTTATACCCGCCTTCTCTAAAATCTTTGAAACTGCAATGTGTAATCGGCTCTTAGACTTTTTTTTACGCATAATCTGCTAAGCCATTCTCAGCACGGTTTTTTAAAGAACAGATCAATTGAAACTGCCATCTTTGAATTTATTGGGGAGATTTACGAAAATCTTGAGGATGGCAAAAACACTCTTGGAGCTTTCTTGGATTGTCCAAAGCTTTTGACAGTCTGGATTCTGGATCACCAGATTCTTTTGGACAAGCTCAAAATATATGGAGTAACAGGCTCTGCTTTGCTCTGGCTGGAATCATATCTTGCGGATAGAACACAGATGGTAACTATTCAAAAGGACGGGAGGGTTGTTTGTTCTGAGAGCAAGGAAGTTACCAGGGGCATCCCACAGGGAAGTGTTATTGGCCCTATTCTCTTTGTCCTCTATATAAACGATTTTTCGTCCCATATAACCAGCGATCATGTAGACAATCAATTTTGCTGATGACACAAATGTCAGTGTCACTGCAGATAGCCTCTTGCAACTCAAAGAGCGAGCAACTTTCTGTCTTGGTAAAGCCCAAAACTGGTTTAACAGTAATTTATTGCTGTTAAACACAGATAAAACCATCTTTATGAGTTTTCATACCCTTCAGTCAGCTAATAACCATCCGACAGGTTTAAATATTTTTTCCCAAAATGTAAGGCTTTCAGATAGTGTGAAATTTCTGTGAATTGAAATAGATCACCACCTAAAATGGAACACACAAAATCAAGCTCTTTCTAAAAAACTTAGTAGCACCTGCTATTCTTTCCATGTTCTAAAACAATTCCTAGACAGAAAATCTCTATTATCTGTCTACTATGCCACTTTCTATACTTTTGCACGCTATGGAATAATATTCAGTTCAAAGAAACAAACATTCTTACACTACCAGGTATCTATATCTATGAATGTCTTATGCTATATAGAAACTTTGATAAGTTTCTCAACTATCTACCAGAACACAAATATAACACTAGGTCAATTGTCTTGAACTATCCAGTGCACAGGCTCGCTCTCACTGAGACTGGACCCACCTCCATGTGTATAATAGTTATTTATGTATCAAGGGAATTATGCAGCGTTTGTGTTCCGAGGGCCTCCGGCCCGAGGGACACCAATTGCCCGTGGGTATTAACTCCTGATAATTCCCGTGGTTCATAGATAATTTTATATCCTACTGAATTTACTGTATTCTGTCTATTTTTATAAAGGAATAAGCCATAAATCAAAATTTCTATTTTTTGTCAAAGTGTTACCTATTCAAGGTAAAAGCGGGAGTTATGGAAATCCTTAACTCCCTTGGGAGTTATGATATCCTTAACTCCCTTCCTTAACTCCCTTGGGAGTTATGAAAATCCTTAACTCCCTTGGGAGTTAAGACCCTGTTTATGATTATCGTAACCAAGGTATTATATGGTTTTAATAGTTCAGTAGGATATAAAACTCTTTAACTTTCTTCCCCAAAAATTAAAATTAAAAATAACAGAAAACTGTTTTAAAAAACTTTTATTTCAGGATCTTGTTTCAATAGAGCCTTACACGATTAAGGAATTTCTAAATTAGGATGTACCATCGTCACCAAAAGTATCTGGGACAAAAATAATTCATAATAATCTTCTAGACTAATTCTACCGTCATTCATTTCTGCATTTCATTCATTGTTTGACAAATATTTGACACTAAAAATAATATAATAGTAATACCCGCGTGTTGCTAAATTCAGCTGGTGTAGGCATCGTGGTGGAATGGTAGAGAAAGCAGTGTTGTTAAATTAAACACGGTGTGACAAGCTGTGGTTTGGCATTGGCATTAGCGAATTTTAATCACCGTATCCGTGGCGGTGCACCATTTTGGTGAATTTAGCAACACGCGGTACATGAGCTAATATGATGCTGTCCCAGTTACTTTTGGTGACATAGTACAGTAAATAGGGATATTTTACTAAAAAAAAATACTTAATGGCTGAAATTTTGAGGGTGTGTTCGGGGGCAAGTCCTGAGTCTAAAACTGAGTTTTCGTATTCGAGGGGGTGGGGGAAGATACTACCCCCTCTTTATGTATGGTTGAGTTCGTTTCAATTCCTCATCTTCGGTGCTATTGCCCGTACCGTCAAGTCCGAGAGATAAAATTATCTATCTAATGATGATAAAATCAAGGTCATAGAACGATTAGGTGAATCACAATGGCCGGTCAAATGTCAAAAGTGGGGGGTAGTTTATGGTTTTTCGTGAATACCGTGAAACCGGTAGGTTTTTTTGCATACTGCTTAGATACCATTTTCAGGGGAAGTAGAGAAAAAGTTCCTCTATCGAATAGATGGGGGGACGAATTTTTAAAAAAATTTGGAGGGGGAAAACATAAAAAACGCAATATCTCGAGAGCGGACCCCCTTTGCGATCTAAAAATGACGTCCCGAAGCAGTGATGTATTTAGCCCCCCCATCGATGGTAAAAATTAATTTTCAAAAATTCGCCGAGGCCGAACTGCTGGTCCGATCGAGTTAAAATTTGGTATGTATATAGTGAAACAGGTCTTCTATTGGAAAAAAAATACGAGAAACCCCTATCTTGAAAGGAAAGTCCCCCAGGGAGCCCCTAAAAAATTTTTTTTTGTCGATTTGGACGAAATTTAAAGTGTATGTGAAAGGGGTTGAAAAGAAGGTTAAATTTCAAGTTTCAGCTCTCTACGACATATAGGAAAGGTTTTAGCCCCTATCTCCCAATTTTGAAAAAGGGCGTAGAATGGGGTATACGCGTTTTGCATTTATTTTCACGAATTTTGAAAAATTAAGATTTTCATCGGATAGAGGAGGAAAAAATATGTCGAAAATGTTTCTAGGCGTTTTTTGCTCTGACGCTTCCTAAGCGCGTGCGGTCAACATCGGCGCGCGCAGTGAACTTGGTCGTTGGATTGACGGCAAACTATTCACAGTAGATGAGTGTTTGAGCACTCATTTTGTAGGTAATTTCAAGTACTTCGAAATGGTATCGAAGCAGTATTCGAAAAAACCTACCGGTTCCTTGGTATTCATGAAAAACCAAAAACTACCCCCCAGTTTTGACCTTTGACTGGCCATTGTGATTCACCTAATCGTCCTATGACCTTGATTTTATTATCATTAGATATATAATTTTATTTCCCACAAATCTGATCTGTCGGACTTGATGGTACGGGCAATAGCACCGAAGATAAGGAATTAAAACGAACTCAACCCTACATAAAGAGGGGGTAGTATCTTCCCCCACCCCCTCGAATACGAAAACTCAGTTTTAGACTCAGGACATGCCCCCGAACACACGCTCAAAATTTCAGCCATTAAGTATTTTTTTTTAGTAAATGCGATTTATTTGTCTCTATTTACTGTACTAACAATGGTACAGTGGAAATCATTGCAATTGGCACACACTATGTAAATATCTCTCGTAATGTGTCAAATCTGACACACAGTAATAGCAAAATGCTGCACCAAATAGATTTATTGGTTAGAATTTTGACTTAATATGGGGGATTTTAAAGAGTGTGTTCCAATTGCAATGATTCCGACTGTACCTACCTAGTAATAACTGATAACTATTCTGTTCCTCTGTAGTGGTAAATATTTTGTTCCTTTTAACTGTTGGCCAGACTTGTGATAACTCTTGTGATATTTTATATTTTAAACTGCAAAATTGTCTTTCTTTTTTTTTATTTTATTTTACACAAAGTACCTGTCTTTTTAACTGTTCTGTTCTTTTTAACTATGTATGTACTAATGACTTATTTTTTACTGTTTGACTGTAAGCACAATTTACTTTATTTTACAAATATTCAAATTATATTCTGGAGAAAATTTTAAAATGTTCTTTTTTTAACTCTTTTATTATTCGGAGAATACTTATCGTTGTAAAACTCAAATTCAAATTAAACTTTAGGCTTTTGTATGTTTCTTTAAAATAAAGATATTCTGATTCTGATATTCAATGTTTTCAAAGTTATGTGGTTGAAATATAGATAAAATTCTTGGATAAAACCTATTATTCATCGGTCCTGTTAAACCTTTCCAATTTTTTTAATTTGTGTTTTGTTTTATACGCTTTGTCATGGTTTAAAGTACCTATTATCATTCAAACAACTTAATTATTCATAACGTATAATATTAATAATTGAATAATTACCTCAAATACTCGAAAAACAAGGACATGAATCCAACAAAAAAACAAACAGCCACCAGTCCTTTGCCCTCCTGTACGTCGATCCCTTTTATTAAATACACACCCAAATCGCTACCGAAAAAGAATGATTGTTTGTGCATCGGCATCTTCAATTGCGAATTATCAACTAAGTATTATCCATTCTGAAAAAGGTCACAAATGGGGCTCACCACAATATTTGAATATTCAAAGAGTTCAGGCAGCAAACAGCAAATAAACACGAAACAGCTGATAAGTGATAAGTTTGATTTTTACAATTTTGAAGGCAACTGAACCTAGAGCCATCTATGGAGTCTTCTTGGAAGCGGAGAACTTTTAATGTTTCTGATTTTGAAACCATTGCATTACAAATTTCGGATTTTACTGATCAGGGCTCGGATTCCGAACTCACGATTCGATTATCGTCCATCTATTTTATTATGGCTAGTTGCACCAAAATTCTGTTAATCCAAGTTTAATAAAACTGAGATTCAAAAATAAACCCCGATCATTTGACCTGTCATTGCACGACACACAACTAAGCTCGGTTTGATTAAACTAGTAATTTATAGGATTATTTTCGTTTAGGTTGGCAAACGTGTTGAAAATTTGTCAAATGTGAAAGCAAAAATAGAAAATATAACCTGTCCTAGAAAGCGAATTATTTTTTGTGAGTCTTTCCGAAGTGAAGCAGTGGCCCCTTTGTATTTTGTAGTTTCTCTCTGCTACTTTGCTTTATTTGACAAAATGGATCCACTGTCTAGCACCAAGTAAAAAAGAGACTGATTTTCTCAATAGTTTTTTCTATTTTCCTATTTAGCAACGTTTCAAACATTCTACAGCTCTTGGACAAGAAGGCCCCACCCTGTTATATACTTCTGTACGTATTATTTTCTTCCAAGTGTTTTGTTTTTCATTGCTCGTAACCGCGCCTCTGAAGGACGGGATATTTGTTTCATCTACATATTTTATTTTGCACATAAATTTCGATCGAGATTGATTATTGGATTTAAAAATCAAATACCTATTAATAAATAATGAAATTCTCACAACACATGAACATATTCCGTAAACAACGACAGTCGGCATGTCATTACACTTTGCGAATTTCCTTTCTGCGCATTCAATTAGTAAAACTTCTCTTTAAACCATCAAAAATGACCGTTTAAGTTGAACCAAGTTCAAATCAAATTAAACTTTGTTCAAGAAACGGTGCAATGGATTTCTTTGGTTTAAACCAAGATTACTGTTAAACCAAGATCAGAAAGTGTTGGTGCAACTACCCATTTTATATACACGATACTATCGAATCGTGGGTTCGGAATCCGGGCACAGATCAAAATCGTGGCGGTTTCCTGATGTGTTGGAACAAAGCTTATTAATTTAATTCTAGATGGCGCAAATTGAAAAATCTTCAATAGTACAGGGTCAAATGTTTGGTAATTTGAAAGAAAAACGAAATCAAACTTAGGTCCACACGGGTCCACACCTTTGGCCCACACCCCCCCTAGCTAGGGAGAGAACAACCCCCAAAATTTGTGTCATACCTCTTTTTAAAGGTCTCATCGAGTTCTTTATGGCCCTAGAATTTCGTCTTATTATTTTCATCCGTAACGAAATGACAGCTTGTCAAAATCTTGGAAATAGACTATTGTTTTAGTAGGAGTGAAAGCGATACTTACCTGCCTCAATAAAAATACGAGTAAAAATATCTACAATTTACAATTCTCGTGTACATCTGACTAATAATAATAATAAATAACTTCAATTTCAAGTAGGTAGGTATTTTTATTGAGGGAGATAAGTATCGCTTTTACTCCCACTAAGGGCCGGTATTATAAAACACTGAACCGATGGTTGAGTTTCAACCTTCAACTCAACCATCGGTTCAGTGTTTTATAATACCGGCCCTTAAACAATAGTGATCCATTTCCAAGATTTTGACAAGCTGTCATTTCGTTACGGATGGAAGTAATGAGACGAAATTCTAGGGCCATAAAGAACTCGATGAGACCTTTAAAAAGTGGTATGACACGACCCCTATTCCCTATTCAAATTTGGGGAGTTGTTCTCCCCCTAGCTAGGGCGTTGAAGCTACGGGGATGAAAAAAAATGAAAAATAGTTCCCCTTCAAATTAAAAATCGACGTGTCCGAGCGTTTTTCCAGATTTTCATCCCAAATCCAATAAATCGGGGTGGACTGTTTTCTCTGGGACACCCTGTATAGACATTGGCATAGGCGCAAATAGGCGCAACTAGGCTCCAAATTTGAGGGGTGCTATAGTCCGACAAATACCATTTTAAAATCACGTGATATTGGTGGCAAAAAACGTATGTCCATTGATTATGTCGTTGATATCACCTACAAAAAGCTACTAGTGGTTAATTACTATTGAATTTTAAGATATGTTCCCAATTGCATTTTACAAACCCGTTTCTGAAGTAGTATTGACCAATCAGATGGGAATTTCAATACTTGCAATTGTTGTGAGACTCACTTTTGACGCATCTGCTGTCCATTGTAATAGATTCTGAACTTGAATTGGGTACCCGATTTCTATTTGCTTCTTTTCGAGTTGGAAAAAGGTTAATATAGTCAAAATTATTAGCTGTGTTTGTTCATTGTATCATTTTCCAAAATAACTTTGACAAACTAATTGATGACAGTGACGGATTCTATTTCAGGTAAGAATATTATGAATAATAATTAGACACCATTTTTTTCGTCAATTTTGCTATCACCGCTGTTTGAGATGTATTCAACAAGGATAGAGAAAAATCACGTGACTTTAAAATGGTATTTGTTGGACTATATAGCACCATTTTTTTTGTGGGGTTTGATGGAAAGGAAATGACGCGCGTAAAAAAAGTTAGTTTCATGGGAGTTTGTACTTATGTCATCATTTGGCTTCCTTTTTTGAAAAATAAGTTTTTTTAAGTCGGAAATTTCAAACAAACATAGTTCGTTGCACGAAGGTTTGTACAAGTCTATGTTTGTACTAACGTCATGGATGACGTCATAACTTGGAAAAAAGGGTTTGTCCTAGATTATTTCATGCATTATAAAATACACCCATCAAACAACGTCATTTGAATGAATTTTGTTTAAATAAGTGATTATTGCACTGTTTATTCGCGATTAAATTTTTGTTTACCTTTTTTGAAATATTCTGACATTTTATAATGAATAGAACTCTTTGGATAGGATTGACGCCAACAATTCAAACCTAATTATTCAGGAAATAATCTAGCCGTATACCACTCGACCTATTTTAAATGGATTAAACTATCCAATTTTTTTTTCTTCTAATTTTGACATTTAAAGTGACACTTTTCAAAACTCGTTGACGTTATAAAGGCGATTTTCAGCCTGGAATGATTATTTATCGGTAAATACCGTGGTTATTCTTTTGGTTGACAACTTTGACAGCCAAGTGTGACGTCACAGCCCCCCACCACTCAAGAATCATAACCCAAGGAACTGACCGCTGAAATGATTTGGTTATTATTATTCCTATTTGTTTTTTCATTTCAACAATGGTTTGTTGTTTAGGTACAAAAAATGGAGCGGAATCTCTCGTTAGTCTCGTTTATCGAACAGATTTTCTTAGGGGATGATCTAAACCTCGATCTAAACATGATGAGTTGCAGTGAGTGAGTGAGTGTATAAGTACTTCTTAAGGCGATTTTCAGCCTGGAATGATTATTTATCGGTAAATACCGTGGTTATTCTTTTGGTTGACAACTTTGACAGCCAAGTGTGACGTCACAGCCCCCCACCACTCAAGAATCATAACCCAAGGAACTGACCGCTGAAATGATTTGGTTATTATTATTCCTATTTGTTTTTTCATTTCAACAATGGTTTGTTGTTTAGGTACAAAAAATGGAGCGGAATCTCTCGTTAGTCTCGTTTATCGAACAGATTTTCTTAGGGGATGATCTAAACCTCGATCTAAACATGATGAGTTGCAGTGAGTGAGTGAGTGTATAAGTACTTCTTACATTGTGCCAGGCCACAACACAACTGCAAAATCACAAAACACCAATAATTCCCAAAATAATAAAAATAACATCAAAAAGCTGTAACCAAAAGATTAACCCAAGTCCAAAGCTGGGTTATAATCGGTTATAAGTGGTAAATACCAAAAGCAAATCAGCTGATATGTGACATTACAACTTCCCCTACTTTGGTTAAAACCGCGACGGCGGAAATGCATTGGTTATAACCAAATAATAATCATTCCAGGCTGAAAATCGCCTCAAATGCCTTACTTTTCATCACCAGTTACGAAAAGTAAAATTTTTCGCAACTGGTGATGAAAAGTAAATTTCACCATTAGTTGAACAAAATACAAGAAGAAAATCTGTGACACTTTTGGGGCTGAATAGCTCGGAGTACTTTGTTGTTATTATATTCTTTGTACAGACATATTGGGAAGGTTTAATTTTATTCAAATTAGTTACCTACATAATATGATAATGTATGAAGAAAGAACTAATAGTTATAAATATTAATACTTAATACAAATTGAACAATTATTGATGATATTGACAACATAGTTTTCTGTGTAGCATTAACTAAATGAATAAATTGAATGTTTTTTTCATGGAAGTCTCTCCAAGGACGTTGGTGACAATTTTCTGTTTTTTATAGTTATGAAATTTTCCACATAGCCCTTAGCGGCTGTATTAGGCTTTCACCCCCCGCATGCTATTTAATTCTCAGCAAATCATCCACAGAATCTACAAGCAGAGTAGGTAGTGAATGATCGTCGAAAGCAATGACCGGCATAAGAATAATGACCCGTTTGAGTCGCCAAACTCGACAATAAACAATACTGGCTTCCATGGTAACGGAATAGGAAACATCTCTGAACTTACTTGACAATTTAGAACACCGGCGTATTTAGCCCATGCGCCTGGGGTGGGGGGGGGGGGGTAATCAGCCCAAGCCAAGCAAAATTTGTTTTTCCTACGAGCGTGCGGAAAAGTTACTTTTCCGCACGATTTTTCGTTTTGAAAGTTGTACTTTTCCGCACGATTTTACTTTTCCGCACTATTTTTTTACTTTTTCGCACGATTTTTACTTTTACTGAAAAGTGTACCCATATTAAAGTTCGGGGGCACCCTATTTGGGGGGCGGAGCCCCGCGGTGGCCCCCTATTTGGGGGGCATAGTCCCGCGAGGGGCCCCATTTTTGCGGGGCACAGTCCCGCGGGCCCCTTTTTGGGGGGGGGGGCGAAGCCCTGGGTGCTCCTTTTTGGGGGGCGAAGCCCCGCAGGGCTCCCTATTTTGGGTGGCATAGCCCCGCGAAGGTAGGGAATCCTAACAATTTTTTTGGCCAATTTAGTTATAGGCCAAGGATCATGATAAAAAAATCCGGTTCCATTATTTTTTTGTGTATAAAAAAATCGTGCGGAAAAGTAAAATCGTGCGGAAAAGTAAAATCGTGCTGAAAAGTTACTTTTCCGCACGATTTTTTTATTGCTAAAAATGAAGATATTTAGGATCAAATAAATGATTTATGTTATATATTATTTTATATTATGTGCTATTTTTTACCATCATTATAAAATTTTTGCGTATTGGAACATTTTTTTTGATAAGTAAGATGGACAAAAGCACTCGTAGGAAAAATATTGTACCTAACTCTTGCGGAAAAGTACCACTTTCCGCACTTGTTAGGTGAATAACTATTCCGGGAGCCACGCCCAAAAACGTTTATTATGAACCTTGAAAACATTTTTATTTGCAACCATATATGTAATCTCGACATTACTGACTTTTTAAAAATTTGAAAGTGACACTTTACCTGTGTCACTTCCCTCTTCGATTTCCCTCACCGATTTCCCTATTCGACTTCCCTCACCGATTTCCCTCACTCTAATTTATCTACCTTTGCTGGCAACAATGAGAACATGTCAGGTAAAAACGTCAAAACAGGTGAATGACATATTTTGGCATGTTTGTTTTATATTTTTAATATTAAAAAAATTGAATGACTAATCATAATTAATGGTGTGCTTGCAAATAAAATAGTATATAAACCTCGGAGGAAAGTTTTCATTTCTGTCTCGAGATTAATAGTCAATCTCGACGCTTCGCGTCTCGATTGACTATATAAATCTCTCGACAGTAATGAAACACTTCCCTACTCGGTATGTAATATACTATTTTTCCATGAGAGTGAGGAAAATTGCATTTGCAAATCCGATTTTCTCGCGCCGAATATCGGTGCGAAAAGACCTTTTCCGCACGGCTGTCAAAACAAAATCAATAAATCACCACAAATTATGTAGGTATACTTATTTATTATACTGTAGAAAAACTATTGTACCTAACACTTGCGAAAAATCTGTTTTACACACTCGGCTGCTTCATCGAGCGAGAACGACAGACTCGTGC